TTAAAAAAAAAAAAAGACTGCAGTGGTAAGTGTGATACTGGTGTCATTTAGAATGTGTATAGATTTAAAGCAGCTGCTCCTCTGACTTTGTTTGCTCTTGGAAGATCTTAAAATTCAACTACAACTTAATTGATTATATTTGTATCATGTGGGTATTTGCAGTAACTGCTTAACTTCCCAATTTTTTCCCTAGTATGTGTTGGCTTTATTGTAAAAATGTATGAATTTCTCTACAGGTTGTACCTCGGGCAACATCTATGGTCTGACAGGATCATGGATACTCCTAGATCAGAGTCCAGGAGTCTTAAGGGCAGGAAGGACAGCTGGGATTGGGGAAAATGAGGGTCACCAACTCAGCTGGCAGCTATGTAGAACTGGGACCATAGCCCCCTCTCCTCCGTGTGCCTCTCCCCTCCCCCCCTCCCCCACAACAGGACAGGACCGGAGTTGTCCAGCAGCCTGTGCCAGCATGGGGCTGGAGCCCCACGGCAGCGTGGGACCAGATTCTCCTGGCAATCCCCAGGAACACTGGGCCACAGCCCTGGAACAGACCCCTGGAGCATGGGGCTGGGACCAGAGCCCCACGGCAGCCCGCAGTAGCATGGGGTGGGAGCCAGAGTTCCTGGCAGCCTGTGTCGGCATGGGGCAGAAGTCCTGTGGCAGTTCTCAGAAGCACTGGCCCACAGCCCCCTGGAGCATGGGGCCGAGACTGGAGCTCCGCAGCAACCACTGGGAATGTGGGGCTGGGCTAGAGCTTCACTACAGGAGCCAAGCCTGTGATGCTTAGGGAGCTGGCAGCAGCTGGGCAAGCAGCCCAGTTAGTTTAAGGGGTGGGGAGGGGAGAGGTAGGGTACCTGCTGGGGCAGCCTGCTGGAAGCAGGCAACAAACTTGGGGACTGGTGGCAGGAGACCTCCCCTGGTCTGGCAAATCCACTTGTTCGGGACCAGTGAGGTCCTGACTTTGCTCCAACCTGTAATAGCATAGTCTTAAGAATCTAGAGGTACTATGCTTAGGATATTATATGCCATCTCAAGAGTGTGTTTGTGTGTTTATGCAAACAATCTATATATAAAATAGATTGAAGGCCAGAAAGGAGCATTCTGATCCTCTACTCTAACACCAACATAAAACAGGACATAAAATTCCATCTAGCAATTTCTGCATCAAGTCAATTTCTAATTGAGCTAGAACAGATTTTTTTAGAAATACATCATTTTGATGTAATAACTTGAAGCAATGGAGAATCTATGGAATCCCTAAGTAAGTTGCAGTGGTTGACTGTCATTAAAACTGTGCACCTTATTTCTAGTGTTACTTGGTCTAGCTTTAGGTTCCAGATATTGGATTTTGTTGTGCCTCTTCTAGATTAGAGCCCTTACTACTGGAAATGTCCCCATTCGTATAGATGCTTACGCTTCTGTTTTGAACTTACAACTTTTGCCACACTGTTGGGACTGAAAATATCCATGCTTGCTCTTCAACAATTCAAGCTGAGAAAGTTGAAGAAAAATATGAAAGTTAATTTTCCCCCCCTCCCCCCCACCCCCCAGCAGTTTCTTTGTGGAGTGCTAGTTAATAATGATAATGAATAGGGATGTAAGTGATAAGCATAAGTTTATGGGGTGGTCCACTAGAGTATCAACTACTCGCTTTCCTCTCTCCCTGCCCCTCCTTACCGCTTCTGTGAGGCAGCAAGGGAAGGAACAGGAGCTGGTGCTGCCTGGCCCCCTTCCAGCTGCCTTTATCAGAGGCAAGGGGGAGGGAGGCTGCTCTGGCAGCCACCCCTGCCTGTCTGCAGGGGTCCCAGACAAGAGCTGCGCTCTGCTGCTCCAGATCTGGGTTGGGGGTGGGGGGGGGGTTGGTGTGTGTGTGTGTGTGTGTGTGGTTTTTTTTTCTCTCCCTCTCTCCCCCTCCCCCCCCCATGGCTGTACCTGTTGGAGCAGCACGTGTGTCTTCCCCACCATTGTTATCAGGTGCAGTGTAATGGGGTATAGCTGCCCAAACCTCCCTCAGTCCCATTGGACTGCCTGTGCTTCAGTGCATTACTTTGTGACTACCAATATAAAAATTGGTAGTTACAGTGGTACTCTTTACTGTATAGTTTTTGTTTCCTGCCTTTGGACTTAGCGTCAGACCTCTTCTTAGGAGATAAGATACCAACACTTGGTACTAGGGCAATGATCTGCAACCTTTTTAAGCACAAGAGCACTCTTTAAAATTTAAGTGCAATCCAGGATCTACCTCAAAACCCAATATCCTTGCCCCACCCAGGGGTTTAGGATGCAGGCTTCAGCTGGACATTGCTTACCACAGGTGGTGCAGTCGGGCTGAGGCAGGCTCACCTCTGTCCTGGCCCTGCACCACTCTCAAATACAGCCAGCAAACTCCCTCCATCCCAAGCTCTGTTGCGTCCCCCTCCATTCCGTGGAGATAGACTCCCGGGTGCAACTCGTGAAGCCCTCCTGTGGCTCGAAAGCCGTCCCAATGCCCCCCAAAATGGACCTCTCCTCCTGTGCTGACTTGTTTAGGGGAGCCATCTGGCATGGCCATGAAAGCTGCAGAAATAAAGATGATGGCAGGCGACGGAAGCCTGCTATGGCCAAAAAGCCTCAAAACACGTTTAAATGGAGTTTCTGAAAGGGATAGAGCCCTTTTTTAAGAGTTTTTGCTCGACCAAATGCAACCAGGAGCACCTTTTAAAGGGGCAGTCTTTTGACATCCTTGCCCTGGCTCTTCACATTGGATCCACTGGTATCTTGTCTCTTTGACAAGAATGGGTTGGTCACCCCTGGACTACAGGGTGGGAGAAGGGGGCACCCTAACATCAGTGCCCCCTTCTCTTCCTGCCCTGCCCTTCACAGCAAGTGGTAGCAAAGGGCAGGAGGTATGCAGCAATGGGGTTAGGAGCAGCTGAAGTTCCAGCATTTGTTAGCCTCTTGGCCAAACCAGTCAAGCTCACCTGTCAGGTCCAATATCTACCAGTAGATCCCAATCTACTAGTTGGTGACAACTATACTAGGGTGTTCCTCACTCTCCAGGTTGTAAGCCCTGTGTTGAAAGCAGGAAATCCAAAAATGATTAGTGACACTTATTCTTTGTGCCTGAAGTATCTGAGTGGCAGCGGGACGGGGGGAGGGAAGGCACCCCTCCCCCCCCCCCCCCCCCCCCCCACCCCCCCCCACCCCCCCCCCTCTCCCGCGGCCCGGGCTGGCGGCTCCCGGGAGCTTGCCCGGGACCGCAAGAGGCGGGCACCCGCCTG